TGAGAAGCTGAAATTTCTCGATGGGATTTTGCTGGGGATGGAATTTTTGGGGGACTGGGGCAGTTTTGCAGAGGGGGGTGCTGAGGTAGGTCCTGCTTGGACCCCACAGCCCCTTTAACCTCTGAGCCTTAAAGGGTTTGGGATGGAAAACAAAGCCTTGAAATATTTGGGATTGAAGCAAGGCCCGGCCTTAAAGGGTTTGAGATTGAAGCAAAGCCTTGGATGGTTTGGGATGGAAAGCAAAGCTTTGGATGGTTTGGAATCTGAAGTCTCCCATGGCACGTGGGGGAATTGTAGGAGAGATTCTTGAACGTGGAAGTTTTTGAGTTGTGAGGAAATGCAGATCTTGGGCTTAATTTTATTCTGAACTTGACTGGAAATGCTGGAATTTCTTGTGATCTTTTTTTTTTTTGTTTTAAACAAAGGAAAATCAAGGGGCAGGGACAACCCTCTGAGGTGCATCATGACATGACCCAAGGATCCAAAATGATCCTTCAGTTTCTTCCAGCAGATTTTTTTTTTTTTTGGGAATCATCCCAATTCCAGTGCAAGTGCCTTTGGTAGAGGCACATCATTCCTTTTAGCCTGGAGGCTCCAGCTCCTGTTCCCAGACTCCTGTTGGAGGCTGGAGCATTCACAAGAGCCTGGATTCCTCCAGGATGGAGCCTCCCATGTGCTCCCTTTTCCAGAGGGGAAAAAAAAAATAAAAAAAAGGGAGAAAAGGAATCAGTTCTTTGCTGTATGCAATGGCCAAACCTCTAATAAACAGACCTCAGAGTGTCCAGGCAGGAGCGGGATTTTTTTGGAATTTTCTCTCCTTTAGTGGTGCCTTTCCAACTTTTTTTTGCTGTGTTTTCCCCTTTGTTCACGCTCCCAGCACCAGCACGGCCTCTTGCCCACGAACCATCTCCAAAAATATCCCGGTTTTTGAGCCTGCTGGAGCACGGGAATGGGCTCTGGAGAGGGGCAGCCATCCAGGATAATGTGGTGATGGGACAGGGCTGGGACAAACACAGCCTGGCCTTTGGAAATGTGGGAAGAATTAGGAGGAATCCAGGTTGAGATGTTGCTTTGGATGCTTCCCGACCTATCCCGTCGGCCAAACTTCTGGCAGGTGCCAAATTGGTTCCTGAAAACATTTCCAGGCTCATCCTGCCTCGCTCTGGCTGGATGGGATGCAGGTGGCTGATCCCAAAATTTCAGTTTTCCTCCTGGAGGGGAGGAACGGAAAGCTCCGTTCCCTCTTTTGGGGGGGGGATGTGCCAGGTGGGAAGGAGGGGCTTGCAAATAATGGATGGCAAAAGGCAGGGATTGGAGCTTGGAATAGGAAGGAGAAATCCATGGAAAACATGGTCTCCCACACCCCAGCCATGCGTGGAATCACAGTTGGAGCTCACAGAATTCCCTGAAATTCCCTTTCCTTGGCCGTGGTTTAAGGATGGGACCGGGGGCACTTTGCTGTCACGTGGAGCTGAGGCACTGGGAAGACATTTTCTGCCTTTGGAAAACCATAAATCCTTAAATATCCTTTTTCCATGCGAGGCAGAGTGGGAAGGTTCCAGCCAGGCTCGCTTGCTGGTGGGGTCTCTGTCGGTGTGGGGGTGTGGAGGAAACGAACGCCCTTGGATGGAGCAAATTCCCAGATCTGGCTCTTTTGGGATCTATCCCAATGTGGAAAAAATTGAGGGCTCTTTCCAGCATCCCCAAAAAATCCTGGCACTGCTGTGATCCCTTGTGGCTGAGCGCCACCACAGCCGGGCTGTGGCATCTCAGGGTTAACAAAGCTGAGCTTAGGGATGATTTTGCCTCTCGGCAGCTCTGGAACAACTCTTTTTTTTTTTTTTTTTTTTTTTTTTTTCCCTGATTCTCCTCGGCTTTGCCTGGATTCTCTCCTGGAGCGGCCGAGCCGCTCAGCTCGACTTCACTAGAGGGCGCAGGAATTTTAGGCTAGGAACGCGCCGGGGTTCGTCGGGGAAAGTTGGCTGCCTTCTCCTCCTTTTTAATCAACTGGAAAGATGCAGGGTTGAACTGGAGGTGACTGGAAGGGGATCCAGACTTGTGTCTGGCCGGGGAAGGATCTGCTGACATGTGGGATTAGGCGGTGCGAGCGCGGCGGCGGCGGCCGGGACGGAGCAGCGCGGCCGGGGCTTGGGACGTGGTTGGGAGCTCCAGGGAGCAGCCAGCTGGAGGAGCCTCCTGGCACGAGGAAAGCTCCCAAAATTGCAGAGAAAGAAGAAAAAAAAAAAAAAAAAACCCCCCTCATTCCCCCCCCTCCCCAGTGGTTAATGCTGGTCAGGTTTGAGTTGATCCCACACGGGTTTGGTTTTCTCTTCCAAAGGATCCCCCCCTTGTCTGTTCCCATCAATCCTTAGGACAGGATCTTTCCTCTTGGGAGCCTGGCTTGATGCAGGGGTGTGGATCCAGCCCCCCACACCACAGCAGCTGTTTTGGGGACCAGAGGCACATCTGGGACGGTTTTGTGTCCTTTCTTCAGGGAGCAGGGGGTCCCCAAGTGTTTCTCCTGTGGGAAGGATGAGGCCAGGAGTGCCCAAAGGCCACCTCCGTTGGGATGGTGGCTCTGTTGGGATGGTGGATCCAAGCAGGAATGTGGACCCGGTGCTCCTAAAGCAGAGGTTGTCCCCTCGTTGGCCCTGCTTCCAGCTGGGGAAACTGAGGCATGGGAAACGTTCCTGGACATTCGCTGGGAGCTTCTGTCCTTATCCCAAGCTCCTCAGCATGGAGGAAGGACAGGTGAGAGCTGGACAGGGAGACAGCAGTGTCCCTTTGCCAGCCCCATCCAGGTGGTCTTGTCCCATCCCTGTGGAAGAGCTCCTGGATCCTGATTCTGCATCAAACCCCGGGGTCCTGCTCGTGGACAAAGGAACCGTCCCTTGACCACTCCCTCCTTACCTTCCCCATTCTCTCCTTTCCTTCCCCATTCCCTCCTTACCTTCCCCACTCCCTTCCCACCTTTCTCATTCCCTTCTTTCCTTCCCCACTACCTTCCCCACGCAGCCCAGGGTCCCGGCTTTTCCCCCTCCACCTTTTCCTGCCCGAGCAGCTGCTTTTTCCAGCAGAAAACTCCTGAACGCCTCTGCCTTTCCAGGCTCCAGAGCAGCTCGGGATGCGGGCGGGATGCGGCCGCCGCCGCCCCGTCCCGTGCCCTCGCCGCGCTCTCGCTCCCTGCTGTTCATTCATTCATTCATTGATCCCTCCTCTCATTCATTCATTCATTCATGCCTCGGCTCCGTGCGGCCATCCAGCCACGGCTCCCTGTCCCCGGGGCTGATCTGCTTGGATTCTCTTCCCTATCCATCCTCCCATCCCGGGATTCCCACAGGGAGCTCCGCGCCGGGCCCGCCGTGAGCTGAGTTTTACTCTGGGCTCAACCCGGGGCGTTGTGGAGCCTCCTGCCCGGAGCTGCGAGGGGACAGAGGTGTTTTTTCACCAAACAAACTCCCAGGGAACGCCGGGGCATTAGCAATGAGGGGTCGCAGCCAGGAAAATATTACCTTTCCCTTGGAGTGCTGACTGCGGAGGAAATTCTCACATTTACAGCTCCGGCGAGCCCGGCGCTCATGGAAAAGAGGGGGCGGCTTTGATTTCGCTCCTCTCGGTGGGTTTGATAACTTGGCAGCCCCCCCACCTCGCCTCCATTCCCGCCGGGAAGCGGCCACCGGTGGAGGCTCCGGCGAGCAGCTCCCTCCTTGGAATCCTGGTTTAATTGGATTTTCCTGGAGGCCTGCAGTGCGTGTGCGTCCTGCCCCGTGCGTGTGTGTAGGTTAATAAAAAATAAACAAACAGCGCTTTCCCCCCTTTTTCTCGGGGAGGGATGCGGCGGGAATGCCGAATGAAAGCGCTGCTGTGCCGGGAAGGGACATTCCTGGCATTGCTGAGCTCCTCGAGCGGGCCCGGGCCCAAATTGGAGGAAAAAAATTGGAGTAAGGAGCCGTTAGCGTGGGGGACCTGGGGAGGCCCAGTCCTGCTCACTGTTTACTCGCAGAGCTTAAATTAACGCTGGCTGCTGACATCAGGAATTTTTTTTCCCCCCCTGGTTTCCCAAGGAAATGAGCCGAGGGCGATCGCGGCCTCTGCGTACGTGCAGAGGCTCTTCCCCGCTTGAACCCCTGTCGGAGTTCAGCCAGATTCCACAGAGATCCTAAAGGCTCCAAAATAATTATTTTGCTTCGTTTTGCATCCGTGAAAAAAAGAAAAAAAAGGTAGTGAGGAGGTGGGAGGAATTGTGGAATTGTTGGTGCTTCCCATTGGGAGAGTTGCGTTTTCCTGATGTGTTTGTCTGTGCTGGGTGCTGGAGAATCCCTGTGGAAAAGGTGCATTGGTGACACCCAAACCATGGGATGGACAAAAATGGGATCCCCTGGATGTGGAAAGCTGGCTCTGTCCCTCCTGCTGCACGTGGGGTGAAGGAATTCCTCCCATCCCTGGCTCGCTCCGTTATTCCCCGTCACTTGTGATGGTTGTGGTGAGAATCTCGGCAGGAGCTGGTGTTTCTGGCAGGTTTTTTAGGAGCTGGTGGCTCTGGATAAAGTGTTTAGAATGGTGACAACTCCCTGTGATGACCTTGGTGAAGGCCAAGGGTGCTGGGGCCGTGTAAAAACCTCCCCTCGCTGTTTCCTGTAGGTTTTCTCCAGGATTTTCAGCCATGAGGCTCTGGAGAGTGGGAATCTCGGCAGGAGCTGGTGTTTCTGGCAGTTTTTTTAGGAGCTGGTGGCTCTGGATGAAGAGTTTGGAGTGATGACAAGCTCTTGACCTTGGTGTAGACCAAGTATGTTGAGGCTGTGTAGAAACCTCTCCTCACTGTTTCCTGTAGGTTTTCGCCAAGATTTTCAGCCATGAGGCTCTGGAGAGTGGGAATCTCAGCAGGAGCTGGTGGCTCTGGATGAAGAGTTTGGAGTGATGACAAGCTCTTGACCTTGGTGTAGACCAAACATGTTGAGAATTTCTTTTTTTTTTTTTTTTTTTTTTGCTGTTTCCCGCAGGTTTTCTCCAAGATTTTCAGCCACGAAGCTCTGGAGAGTTACCTCCCCAAGATCCAGCTGGTGATCAAGGACACCCTCCGGGCCTGGAGCAGCAACCCCGAGTCCATCAACGTGTACCACGAGACGCAGAAGCTCACGTTCCGCATGGCCATCCGCGTCCTGCTGGGATTCCGCATCCCGGACGAGGAGCTCGGCCGCCTCTTCGAGGTCTACCAGCAGTTCGTGGAAAACGTCTTCTCCCTGCCCGTGGATCTGCCCTTCAGTGGCTACAGGAGGGTGAGCTTTGGGTTGGGTTCTCTGCCCCCCAAATTAATTAATTAATTAATTAACGGGCGCGGCGATTAATCCGGTTCTCGGCGGGGTTTCTCATCCTCTGACCTCATGGAGTCCTGATTTAGTGGAGAAGAGAGAGGAAAATCCGTCCCCTTAGTGACTGGAGTGGTGTAATAACAGAAAATAGACAGGGTTGGCCCAGATTTCATTCATATTTTTCCTCATTTGGCATTTTTCCCGTATTTTTTTAGTTCGTGGGACCCTTCTCCTTTTAATTACCTCCTCGCAGTGAAACAGTTCCTTGTAATTCCAAGAACTAAAACAGATCCTTGTAATTCCCAAAACTAAAACAGCTCCTTCTAATTCCTGGAGCATTCCAGGTTTTGGGGGGTTTTTTTGATAAATGATACAAAATGAAAACATAACAAAAAAATAGACATAAAATCATATTTTTTTCCTGTGGGGAATTTTGATAACAGAAATACGGGGGGTTTCAAAATTTATTTTCGTGGTATCCCTGCAAATCTTTTTTATTGCTGTTTGCCCACGGGAATGATTGCATCCCCTCAGAGTCCGGAATCATTCCCAGCAGCAGGTTAGCCCCGAGCAGCTGCACTCCTGTAGGAATTGTTTTACTGGGACCAGGTGATCAAATTTCTTGGGAAGGGGATTCTTTGGGATGAATGAGCTTTCCTTTGAGAGACAATTTTCCCAGGGATTTCCATACATCCCAGGAGGAGCCGGGGGGCTGTGAAGCGGTGCCGGACAGGGGCTCCCAGCCCAGACCCATCATTTACACCTAGGTGTTGATTACTCCTCCTGTGATCTCCCCTACTCTGGCTTTACTCCTCCCGCCCAGGGGACATCTCCAACATCCTCACACCCCTCTTTGAGCCTCTGCTTTTATGGCTTGAACCTGTCCTGAGCACATCTGCAACTCCCGGGATGGGCAAGGTGCTGCTGGTGGTGTGGTCTGAGCAATTCCTGCTCCACAGGGAATCCGGGCCCGGGAAACTCTGCAGAAGGGGCTGGAAAAAGCCATCCAGGAGAAGCTGCAGAACACGCAGGGCAAGGACTACGCTGATGCCCTGGATATCCTGATAGAGAGTGGGAAGGAGCACGGCAAGGAGCTGACCATGCAGGAGCTGAAGGTAAAGCTCTTCCCTGGAGCTGCCTTGGGATTGTTCTGCTCAGGGACCAGAATTCCCCAAAGGAGAAGTGTGGGATGCTCCAAGGAGGGATTTTTGGGGCAGAGATGAGCAGTGAGAGCTGGGTGGCCACGATGTGTTGGTGGATCCAAACCTGTTGCTTTATTTATTTGCTGGTAGTGCCCAGTCCCTTCTGCAAAGCATTCCATGGAATCATGCAGCTGGGGAAAGGCCTCTGAGATCACCCAGACCAATTCCATCCCCTCTAAACCACACCAGAAAATTCCATATCTGCTCAGTTTAGGAACGCTTTCAGAGTTGGTGGCTCCATCCCTGTCCCAGGCAGCCTCTTCCAATGCTTGTCCCCTCTTCCAGGAAAGAAATTTTCCTTGATATCCAACCCAAACCTCTCTGGTCACAACAGAAGCCTTGATTAGCTGCACCCCTTGACCCTTGCACTTTTCCTGGCACAGGAGCTCCTCAGCAGGTTCTTCTCTGTGGCTGGGTCCTGCCATGCCAGGAGCCACCTCCTGGGTGTTTTGTCTGATCCTCAGAGGTTCTGTGTGAAGCTCCTTGTGGTGGCTGTCCAGGGAGTGACCTTCCAGTTAAACGTGACCAAGCTGTGGCTGCCCCATCCCTGGAAGTGTCCAAGGCCATTAACAATGGACACAAACTCTGCTCGGGTTTTCCTCATCCATCCTGGTGGGTGGGGAATCACTCAGGAGAATCCATCTCCCTCCAACATCTCACTTTGCAGGCCACATCCCGTTTTTCCCTCTTCCAGTTTTGTGACGTGATCCTTCCTCAGGTCACTTGGCCTCTTTGGATCTTAAATCTTATTTTTGTGGGAGAAGCTGTGGCTGCTCCATCCCTGGGAATGCCCAAGGCCAGGCTGGATGGAGCTTGGAGAAACCTGGGATAGTGGGAGGCGTCCCTGGGGTTGGAACAATGCGATCTCAAAGTTCCATCCATCCCAAAACCATTCCGTGATTCTAAGGCCAGGCTGGAAAAGCTTTTGGGGAGACGAACACCCCGTGACCCCTCGACGTGCTGAGGATGGTGTCCCACTTTTTTCCCACCCCTGTGCCTCACCCTGGCTCTTCTCCTGCCCCCCCAGGACGGCACCCTGGAGCTGATCTTCGCCGCCTACGCCACCACGGCCAGCGCCAGCACCTCCCTGATCATGCAGCTCCTCAAACACCCGCGGGTGCTGGAGAAGCTGCGGGAGGAGCTGCGGAGCAAAGGGATCCTGCACAACGGCTGCATCTGCGAGGGCTCCCTGCGCCTGGACAACATCAACGGCCTCCAGTACCTGGACTGCGTCATCAAGGAGGTCCTGAGGCTCTTCACGCCCATCTCCGGCGGGTACCGGACCGTGCTGCAGACCTTCGAGCTGGACGTGAGTACTGCTGCACCCCTGAGCTGCCCAAAAGTGCCCAGCTCGCTTGAGCCTGGCTTAGAGGAGACCTCAGAGGGGATAAAGGAAGTCCTGCCTTGTTAAGTCCTTCTCCCAGGTAACCAGTGACAGGATAATGAGACACAGCCTTAAGCTGGACCAGGGGAAGTTCGGGCTGGTTATTAGGGAAAAAATTCTTTCCCAGAAAGAGTGGTTTGGTGTTGGAGTGGGGTGCCCACTGAGGTGGTGGAGGCGCCATCCCTGGAGAGGTTTGTGCCTGGATGTGGCACTCGGTGCCACGGTTTTGTGGATGAGGCGGTGTTAGATCACAGCTCGGACTTGATGATCTCAAAGGCCTTTCCAGCCTAATTAATTCTGTGATTCTGGCCATGGGATTTGCTCCAGATCCAGCAGTGATGGGATGTGGAGCAAGGGATGCGCCAGAGCTGCCAGAGAGCAGACGGGTGTGATGCTTCAAAGCCCAGCTCGTGACAGTGACGCCAAATTCTGAGCTGGGGTGTGACAGGGGAAAGGTTTACAGCAAAGGGCATCTCCAGGCTGCCGGATGACAGGCGGATTAGTCACTGCCATGGCTGGAATTTCCTCCCAGCAAAACAAAATCTCGGGAGCTGCCTTGTCACTGTAAATCCTCCTAATGCAGTGGTTTGAGTCAGAGACCTTTTAAAGTGCTCAGGGGATGATAAATCCACCCCATTTCTCATCGCCCGGGCCCCGACGTGGGTGTTGGGTGTGTGGTGCTGACAGGCAGCGGGGTGTGGGATGCTCTGGGATCCCTCTGGGATGCTCTGGGATGCTCTGGGAAGGGCTGGCTGATGTGTGGGGCACGGCACGGGAGAAGCTGCTGCCCCAGCTCAGCACCACGGGGTTCCTGGTAGGCAGCTCCTGCCAGTGACCACAAAGCAAATAAATGGATGGATCATCCCACGGATCCTTGGGATACAGGGAGGGATAAAGGCAGGAGTCACATCCCTTCGTCCTGTGCTGACCATGACAGATTTTCCTTGAAATCTGTATCACACTTGAGGGATAAACCCAAAAGAAATGGGAATAAGCAAGGAAAACAGTGAGGGTGGTGTGGGCTGGCACAAATTGCCCAGGGATTGTGGATGCCACATCCCTGGAAGTGTCCAAGGTTGGATGGGGCTTGGAGCACCCTGGGGTAGTGTGGGACAGGATGAATTTAGGGTCCCTCCCAACCCAAACCATTCCATGATTCCACGGAAACCAAATTCCTTTATCTCCTCCCCCCGCTCCCGCTCCCTTTCCCTCTCCAGCAGGATTGACCCACTCTGCTCTTCTCTCCACCCCCTTCCCAACCTCCCCGCAGGGTTTCCAAATCCCCAAGGGCTGGAGCGTGATGTACAGCATCCGGGACACCCACGACACCGCCCCCGTCTTCAAGGACGTGGACGTCTTCGACCCCGACCGCTTCGGGCAGGGCCGGAGCGAAGACAAGGACGGCAGGTTCCACTACCTCCCCTTCGGAGGAGGCGTACGGACCTGTCTGGGCAAGCACCTGGCCAAGCTCTTCCTCAAGGCCCTGGCCATCGAGCTGGCCAGCACCAGCCGCTTCGAGCTCGCCACCAGGACTTTCCCCAAAATCACCCTGGTGCCCGTGGTCCACCCTGTTGACGGACTCAAGGTCAAATTCTTCGGACTGGATTCCAACCAGAACGAGATCCTGACGGGCACAGACGCCATGCTGGGGGCCACCGTGTAAATCCCGCGCTGGTGGCAACCAGGGACGGGCGGCCGGGGGACGCAGGGGTGGGGTGGGGGCGAGGGGATGGACAGGAGGGGAGGAGAGAGGGATGAGGAGCTTCTCCACGGCGCTCACCTCCGGATCGGGACTGCTTTTCCAGCAGGGAAGCTGCCGGAAGCGTTTTTGCTCTTCCCGCGGGACGCGGAGAAGGTCGGGGCGTCGTCGGCGTCGTCTTGTTCCGTTTGGGAAGGAGGAAGATCCACAAAAAGCCGAGTCGAGCTGGGATGGCTGACCATACACAGTATCTAAATATTATAAATATATATATATAAATATCTATAAAACACTTCTGCTGCCAGGAGGAGAAGGCCCGACTGCGGGAAAGGCTTGGGAATCAGCCGAGGATCTGAGGTCTGGTGTCCCGGGGCAGCTCTGGGGTGACCTCTGACCTTTTTTTTTTAACAGTGTTAAATTAGCTGGTGATAACAGTGTTTTTATGTTTTTTGAGGTGGTTTTTTTTTTGTTTGTTTTGGGTTTTATTTTTTTTTTCATTTGTTTGGTTGTGTTGTTTGTTCCGGGGCGTTGGAGCCTTTCCTTGGCCGGGGGGACACAACGCTGCCCATTCCCAGCCCCTCTCCCGCTGGTGCCGGGGCAGGCTGGGGAGGAGAGGAGGAGGAGGAGGAGGAGGAGGGGTCGTTTTGCTTCCCAAAAAACCTCTCTTGTGGTGTCCCGAGGTCTCGGGAGAGGCAGGTTTGCATTTTCCAGGATGTTCTGGGGCTCTGGGGAGGGGGATGCCCTTTTTTTTTTTTTCCTCTCTGTTGAGTTTCCTGCTGCTGCTACCCGGCCTGTGAGCACCCCCTCCGCTGCAGCCGCTCGCCAGCCCTGGGCAAGGCACCCGGCTCTGGGGACATTTCGGTGCCTTTGCTGTCCCCTCAAGGTGCTGGCACCATCCCCCGAGCCCCAGCACGGCTCTGGGGGCACCGGGGCTGCTCCTGCCAGAGGCATTTGCATTAAAGGTGATCTCTCGAATTAAGGCAACGCACGCATTTGTTTGTCTCGTGTTTGGGGTTTTTTGGTTTTTTTTGGCAACGGGAGAGCTCAGCAGGAAGGAGAGGGTTCTGTGTCAGCTTCCACCTGAAGAATTCCAGAAAAAGAATTCCAGAGCCAGCAGCCACCGCGAGGTATCTTGCCTTCCATTTGCTGGGGGGTTTGTTTCGTTTTTGGGTGTTTGCATGCAGGAGGATTCTGAGTTGAGTTGGAGATTTGGGGGGGCTGTATCAGGAGGGTGTGGAGCAAAAGCTCCCCAAGCACCTGGGCAGGTGTTGGGTTCAAACCAGAGCCAAACACCAGCCTGGGAGATCCCTCCGTGACTTGGGGCAGCTCTTCCAGCCCATCCCACCCCATTCCCATTCCCATCCCATCCCAACCCTCGGAGGCCGAGAGCGGTGACGGGAGCCGCGCTCGGGGCGGGGGCAGCTTGGCTTTCGGCTCCACGGGGATCCAGAGAAGTCCGAGGGCTTGAAATAGGGAAGGAGAAGGGGCAGGTGTGGCTCACCAGGTGGCTTTGCAGGTTGTGCTTTTGCCTTTTTGGCAAGGGAAGGTGGCAGGAAGTGTGAAGCGAGCGGAGGCGAGGCCGCCTGGGCCGGCCCGGCGCTGGCGGGGGCGAGGAGGAGGGAGGCAGGTTTGGAGCCAAGGGAAGCACTTGAGGTTGGAATGCCGTCAGCCAAGCTGCCAAAATTCCCCCCCACCCCCACCCCGGAGCATCCCAGGGGATGGTGGTCCCTCCCACCGGGGTGCACGGCTTGATTCACGATGGGATAAAACTCCCGATCTTCCGGAATTCCCAATTCCCGTTCTGATCCCGGCCGTGTTTCTGGGTGGGGACCAACGTGCCAAACCCCAAAGGAAGCTCTCAGGAGCTCAGAGTTTTCCAGCCTGGGATTTTTAAAAAAGGAACATCACCAGTTCAGGCCCTGTTGGGATTCCAGGCGTTTCCTTGTCCCTGATGGAGAGAAAACATTCCCAAGTGGTGGAAATCCCAATCCCCAAGGGCAAAGGGGAACACAGACCTGGATGTGGTGGGAAGGGGGAGTCTCCCAGGACAAACATCTGGGCACAGGGAGGTGTCCGTGGGTTTTGTGGGATTTGGGAATGGGGATGGAAGGGGGATGAGCTGTGGGGTGGGAACCCAGGAGCCCCCGATCCCATCTGGGATCTGTGCCTGGGGACGAGTGGAAAGGGAAAAGCTGGAGAGGACAACCAGGACTGGAGGTCCTGGTTAAAGACAAATCCCTTGGATTTGTCGAGCAAAACCTCTTGGATAGACTTTTCTGGAAGGGCTCAGTCCCTCTTTTCACGGGGAAATCAGGGAAGGGTTTTTTCCCTGAAATTAAAATTTTAACTTCCGATGTTGTTCCAAAGTGAGAACCAAACCTGCTCTGGAGTGAGTTTTGATGGGAATGGGAGCTGCAGCCATCCCTGAAATCCCATTTACATCCCGTGGATATCCAGTGTTTGTGTGGGGGAGTATTTAATCCAGGCTGAAGTAAGCCAGGTTTTGTTGTTCCAGTCCTAACTAATATAACTTGACTAAAAAAATAAAGTTGCTGCAGTGGGTTTGCAGAATAAAGCACTTTGAATCTCAGAATTTTTTTTTTTTTTAATTAGCACAGTCCAATTTGCTATAATATTATTTTATACACAAATTTTTTTTTTTTGGTCTGTCTTTATAAACTATTATAAGTGCTATTTTTGTTATAATTCAAAAATAGATATTTAGGATAAAGTCGTGCTGTTAAATATTTGTTATTTAGTAAAAATATGATTTTTTTTTTCCTCTATTGTAAACGTCGTCTGGGAAAAAAAAATATTAATGTTTTATCCTATTTGTTTTTAATATTAAAAAAAAAAAAGGAAAAAAGCACTTGTGGGGTTTTTTCGTTCTGGAATTGGTGCCGTGTTGTGTTGCAGTCACGTGGGTTTTAATATGTACAGAATATTCTGTGTCCCATATTAAAATGAATGTTGTGTATTTTGTGATCCCAAAATAAAAAAAAAACAAAAAAACAAAACCAAACCAAAATCCTTGTGGCTCCTTTCTGGAATTCCGGGATAAAAAGGGTTGGAGCTCCCAAATTTTGGTTTCGTATTCCAGGTGCTGCTCTTTGTGGCCTCCGGGGTTGGGGTTTCAGGGAGGAAATCCCAGGAATTGGGGAATCCATCCCATAAAATGGGATTTTGGCATCCAGCTCCATGGCCAAGGTGAACCTTGGTTGGTATGGATCCAAATACATGGAAATTCCACAATAAAATATGAAATGAAATAATAAAATAATAATAAAATAAAATAGTTTAATGGGGAGGACTGTCAAAATTTGGATCAAGTGGGAGATATTTGGAGTCTCCATCTCTGGAGAGTGCACGTGGTCCCAGGAGCAGACCAAGGTGAGCCAGGGATCCAAATACAGGAAATTCCACTTAAAAATAAATTAAAATGAAATAAAATAAAATAATTAAAATAACATTTAAAAAATTATGGAGAGGATTGTAAAAAAAATTGGATCAAGTGGGAGATATTTGGAGTCTCCATCCCTGGAGATTGGACATGGACCTGCAGACCTGGACAAAGCTGAATCCTGGCTGATGTGGATCCAAATACAGGAAATTCCAAAATAAAATAAAATAACATAAAATGGGATCGGTTTGGAGTCTCCATCCCCGAAGATTGGGCAGGGACCTGAGCAAGGTGTCACAGCTCCAAGGTCCAACCCATCCCCAGGTTTTTGGGAGCTCAGGATCCCTCGTTTCTTCCCAGAGCCTTTTTCTCTCCCCAGGAAGAGCAAGGAGGGAAGGGAAGGCAAATATTCCAGTTGTGTCCTGGTCCTTTCTGCTGTTTTTTTCAGGAATCACTCCCGATGGAATTGGCACAGGAGATCACTATGGGTGGAAGAACAAACACAGGAGCGCCAAGGGCATGGGATGGAGCAGATGAGGGAGGACACAATTCCAGGAGCAGAACACGATTCCAGAGGCAGGACACGATTGCAAAGGAAAGACAGACAGAATTCCAGGGGCAGGACACAATTCCCAAGGCAGGAGAAACACAACTCCAGGGTCAAGACACGATTCCAGAGGCAGGAGAGACACAATTCCCGAGACAGGACACAATTCCCAAGGCAGGAGAAACACAACTCCAGGGACAAGACACGATTGCAAAGGAAAGACAGACAGAATTCCAGGGGCAGGACAGACACAATTCCAGAGGCAGGAGAGACACAATTCCAGGAGTAGGACACAATTCCAAGAGCAGGACCGACACAATTCCAGGAGTAGGACACAATTCCAGAGGCAGGACACGATTCCCAAGGTGGGAATTGTTGGAGTCCTGAAGCCCGGGATTTTTAAACTTTCTGTGCTTTCTGACTCTGACCCTCAAAAGAACGCTCCTTTTGACTTGAGGCCTTGGAGAAGGCTTCCAAATGGGATTGCTGGAATTGGGATCACTGGTGTGGGGTTGAGTAGGAGCTCAGCTAACGGGAATTCCCAACAGGAATGACCCCCAGGTGAGCAGCAGGTGGGGTGGGAGCATCCAGGGCTGTCCCTACCCTCCCCTTCGGGTACCAGAGAGACCGAATCCCGCTCCTCAGTGAATCCTGAGGGATTTTTTTGGGAACTGGGGCTGCTCTGAGCTTTCTAAACCAGAGTTTAGGAAATGTTTTAGGAAGCCCTGGCTGGTGGGAGAGGAGCTTTGGATGAGACGCGCCAGGACGAGCCGCCGGTGGGAGCCGCAGCTGCAGCCGCTCGGCGGCGGAGACGGGGAGCGCTCAGAGGGTAATTAGGCAATTAGCGAACTAATTGGCTTCCGTCTCCTTCCTCTTCTGCCCATAAATAGAGCCCCGATGGCCGTGGTGGGAGCTCTGCAGAACAGGATGTTGCTTCCAGCGATGACATCCCCGAGGCAAGCGAGGGCTGGAAAATGTGACCGTGAAACCCAAACCCGGCTCCCTCCGGAGCAGCCCGAG